GCATATCTCTCCACCAGGTCCACCAGCTCGTTTGCAGATTTAGGGTCTCCACGGCCGACCCACTTCCTCAAAGTGGCAGGGAGTGCATGCAAATATTGGTCCATGACCACACGCTCCACAATCTGAGGGCCTGACAATACCTCTGGCTGGAGCCACTTTTTGGAGAGATGTATCAAATCGAACATCTGAGATCTGGGTGGGTTTGTCAGCCCTAAAATGCCACTGATGCACCCGCTGAGCCCGGACTGCAATGGTGACACCCAGGCGTGCAAGGACCTCAGCCTTCAGTTTCTCATAGTCCTGGCATCCCCTGGTTCCAGGTCATAATAGGCTTTTTTGGGATTCACCTGTCAAAAATGGTGCAAGCAGTCCTGCCCATTGCTCCTTTTTCCATCCTTTCCCGAACAGCAACCCTTTCAAAAAGTTGTGAGATAGGCCTCCACATCATCCGCAGGTGTCATCTTCTGCAAAAAACATAGCTGGCCCGCGCCATTTTCTGCTCCACTGGCAGTGGATCTGCAGATTCCTTCTTTAATTCTAATAGGTGTTGGGCCACCTGCTTAAGGAGCTCTCGGTCTGCTTCTTGGGCCTCCGCAAACTGGCGATTTTGTCTTATTATTTCCTCCATCTTCCCACTTGCTCAGGAAGTGCCCGCATCCTCCACCATATGTGGGGGTTAGCTCAGGTGGGGGATCTCCTTCCCTGGACAAAGGTAGACCGCACAGCAGGCTTTCATCAAAATCTGACTGGTTGTCAGCTTTATTTAAAAGGTTTGCAGAAAATAAACAAAACATGAAAATAAACCCTTGCCATCCAGGCACTAACTAAACAAAAGGCATTTCCTCTCTCAGAGGTGAAGGGCTTCTCCCTGTCACCGAAATAAAACAAACGCAAACCTTTTCTTGTAGGTATGTGTACACACACAGCTCTCTCAGAACACCTCTCTGAGTCCCAGGCCACGAGCAACTCCTTGCTCCAGCCCTGCCTTATTTATACCACCTGTTGGTGGTCATCAGTGGAGCCCAAACTCTGGTCCGGACCCACCTGCTTAACTGTGGCCCCGAAAACCCGGAGTGGACTCCACCTAAACGGTCAGGTATGAGCATATGCGAGGTGACACATAGCGTCCCTCTATCACCTCGCCGTTCATCCTGTCACAATATATATATATATATATATATATATATATTGACAGTGCTGTACATTGCCACTGTGGTATTGGATTGTAGATCACACAGAGTTCACAAGGATGCAGGTTGAGTGGCTCCAGAATGTTTATGCCGAAAGGAGGAAATTGTTTTTTCAATTTACTCTGGGCTTGGTAATTCCCAAATTGGGCTCTGGAATCTAGAGGCTCCAAAGAGCCTTGGAAAGTAAGAAACCTCTAATCCTGGTTCCAGGTTTTACCATGGAAAATCAGGCTGTAACCGCCTTCATAATCAAGGGTCTGGCAGTGATTCAGGGCTCCTTTTCTCTGGATGCAAACAGCTTTTGGCAGACATTAGGAAATTGTCCATGCTAGTCTCCAGGAGAGCTCATCTGACCAGGCCATTCCTTAAAAAGTGTTGAAAGATGGTGTGTCTGTAGGCAGGAGCCTGTTCAGCCTAGGAGAGGGCATATTTTGTTTTCCAAAAAGCTGATGGAGACAGCGTGGTGAGTCTGGGCAGAGACAGACTCAAGGACTATGAAGGTTTGATAACTCAGAGGCTGAACGTTTTACGGTCTGTCAATGCTGAAATCCCCTGTGAGGGTAGCCCTGTGATTCGCTTTGAAGTTTGCTTTTCTTTACATAAAATTGGGCAACAAGCCCTAAAAATTTATGTCTAAGAACTAAAATGTAAAAATGGGGTTTGAATAAATGATCATTTCTACCAACTCACTACATTGGTACAGTCCCAGCAGCAAAGGTAAATTACCAGCACAAAATGGAAGACGTAGGGGTGTCAAACTAGCGGCCCTCCAGCTGTTGAAAAACTACAAGTCCCATCATGCCTCTACCTTTGGGAGTCATGCTTGTAACTCAATCTTGCAATGCCTCATGGGACTTTGGTTTGGCAAGAGCTGGAGGGCCGCCAGTTTGACACCTGTGGTAGATTATTAAACTCTGGAACTAATAAAAAGCTGCAAATGCAGGACAAAAGTGGCGTATCATCAATTATATGACTGCAAAATTAGAAAAATACAAAATAAACTTTATTTCATTCCTAAATAGAAATATTGACATTACACAAAAATTAAATATAAAAATACCGCTTAACTACCCATAAAAGTATTTACATATTTTTATGGGTCGTTTTTTTATGTTTAAGGGGTATTGCTATGTATAATTTATGTCAGTTTTTCTATTTATGGATTAAGTTTATTTTGTATTTTGCTAATTTTCCAGCCATATAATTGTTGCGTCCTGCATTTGCAGCATTTTATTCTGACCAAAGTTTAATACTCTAGTCCTTCTTCCTTTTTGTGCTGCTAAAAATGTATTTCCCCAGCTGGACTTTCGGACTGTGACCCGGAATTAGAAAACTACTGTTGCAAACGTGACTGCCGAGCTCAATCTCAGTCCCGTGAGATAGTTTGGACAAAGTTTGTGTTTGTTTTTAATTGACAGTGCAAGCACTTTACTATATTTACCTTTCTATTACTGTTCTGACATCAGAAGGAAGGCTTAACGTTCTTCTTTTCTTTCACTTTAATTTTGGGAGTTTCTAGTTAGATGCCAGCAAATAAGTGCAGTGAGGTAGGTGACGTTCAGCAGGGTCATGCTGTGTGAGCTTATATACAAGGCAGCAGTGATGTATGCTGTCACCACTGCCTGAAGAAAGATGGACCCATCAGTCTGATGTTGCTGTTTCATTGTCCAATCAAAAGCTGGGGGGGGGGGGGGGGGGGGGTGTCACGTGGATCTAACTGTATTGTTAACCTTCAGCAGAGAAAATCAGGTCACCTGGCTGTACAGTCTGGCAGGGCTGTTTAAATGTTGTTATTAGGTGGACAGCACCTATGCATATATTTTAGTGGTATATTTATCTAATTGCTTATAGTTCAGATTTAAAATATAAATTGGCTGGTGCAGCAATCATTCGGATTATATTGTTTTCTTACGGATAATGGAATTTCCCAGTTTGTTCAATTTATTGGTATATTTTATGTGCTGTTTGAGTACACAAGCAAAGTAATTCATTTTGAAAAGGCATTTATGTCATTACTATCGATTAGGTGCTTTGCGTTTTACTAGTGATTTTGTGAAATAGACTGAATGATTTTGTATTCATCCCTAGGTGTTATTATGGTCAGCAAACAAAGTATTTGAAGAGCTGACAGACATTGAAAGGCAATTCCACAAGGCCCTTTACACAGTGAGAGCGTATTTAAACTGTGACAGATATTCTGTTGGTCTTCTAGACATGACGAAAGAAAAGGTACTGTACTATAAATGAATACTGCCCTAAATTTAGTGCTATAATAAATGTCTAGCACAGTTATAACCTATATTGAATTTTAAGACTATTTTATTACCATTCAGAATCTGAAAGTAAAATTATGTGAAAAATATTACCAGCGGTATAAATGTCTAAGGCCATCGTATAGCTAAACTTTCACAACAATAACATTAGGGTAATTGCCATCTTGTCTTTCTTTTCTTATTAATTAGTTGCCAAAAATATTTTTTTTATTTGCATAGAGAATGGTTAGAACCCCTGTGAGATTTTTTCATTGCTGTCTTTGTCCCCACTGGGTTAAGTTACGCATTCTATTTGTCCTAGTGACCAATGTCACCTGGACTGAAAGTGATTGAGAATCTGTAATTGGAGCGGTTACTGGAACAGAAATAGAGGAAGGTTTCCTATGGAGACACTTGTTTCCTGTGATAACTGCCTAAGACGGTATTCCTCTTACTTTAGAGAAATTTCATTTTACTCCCCATTGTGTGTTTGAGTCAGGAAGTGAAGGTAAATCTCCTCAATGGATGTTAACTAACCCATAGCATATCCAAAACTAAAGAAAAATGGCTTTAGATATACTTTTTTGGTGTTGTATTGGGATGATTGAGAACTCCATATAATATATTTTGGTATAGTTGTACCTGCCTTTTTTACTGTTGAATAAAATCTTCTGTTTTAGGAATTTTTTGACTTGTGGCCAATCCTGATGGGAGAGGTTCCTCCATACACAGGGCCCCGTACTCCAGATGGGAGGGTAACCATCTATTGCACTAGTTTTTGTATGAATGTCTATCTATCTATCTACACTATATTGCCAAAAGTATTGGGACAGTTGCCTTTGCACGCACATGAACTTTAATGGCATCCCAGTCTTAGTCAGTAGGGTTCAATATTGAGTTGGCCCACCCTTTACAGCTATAACAGCTTCAACTCTTCTGGGAAGGCTGTCCACAAGGTGTAGGAGTGTGTCTATGGGAATGTTTGACCATACTTCCAGAAGCACATTGATGTCGGATGAGAAGTCCTGGCTTGCAGTCTCTGCTCTAATTCATCCCAAAGGTGTTCTGTCAGGTTGAGGTCAGGACTCTGTGCAGGCCAGTCAAGGTCCTCCACCCCACACATGCTCATCCATGTCTTTATAGACCTTGCTTTGTGCACTGGTGCGCAGTCATGTTGGCACAGGAAGGGGCCATCCCCAAACTATTCCCACAAAGTTGGGAGCATGAATTTGTCCAAAATGTCTTGGTATGCCGATGCCTTAAGAGTTCCCTTCACTAGAATTAAGGGGCCAAGCATAACCCCTGAAAAATAACCCCACACCATAATCCCCCCTCCACCAAACTTTGCACTTGGCACAATGCAGTCAGACAAATACCGTTCTCCTGCCAACTGCCAAACCCAGACACATCCATTGGATTGCCAGACAGAGAAGCATGATTCGTCACTCCAGAGAACATGTCTACACTGCTCTAGAGTCCAGTGGCTGCGTGCTTTACACCTCTGCATCCGACGCTTTGCATTGCACTTAGTGATGTAAGGCTTGGATGCAGCTGCTCTGCTATAGAAACCCATTCAATGAAGCTCTCTATGCACTGTTGTTGTGCTAATCTGAAGGCCACATGAAGTTTGGAGGTATTTAGCTATTTGACTCTGCAGTTGGTGGCTGTGCACTGTGTCCTTCAGCATGCGCTGACCCCGTTCTGTCATTTTACGTGGCCTACCACTTCGTGGCTGAGTCGCTGTTGTTCCCAGTTGCTTCCACTTTGTTATAATACCACTAACAGTTGACCATGGAATATTTAGTAGAAAGGAAATTTCACGGATGGACTTATTGCACAGGTGGCAACCTATCACGGTACCACGCTTGAATTCACTGAGCTCCTGAGAGTGACCCATTCTTTCACAAATGTTTGTAGAAGCAGTTTGCACGCCTAGGTGCTTGATTTTATACACTTGTGGCCATGGAGGTGATTGGAACACCTGAGTAGAATGATTTGGAGGGGTGTCCCAATACATTTGGCAATATAGTCTGGCTGTCTATCTATCTATAGTATCTACAGTATCTGTCTATCTACAGTATCTATAGTATCTATCTATCTATCTACAGTATCTATCTATCTATCTATCTATCTATCTATCTATCTATCTATCTATCATCTACAACAAGCCTGTGTTGTTTTATTTTTAGGAAATCTTATTTTATAAGGTTATTGACTACATTTTGCATGGAAAAGAAGACATTAAAGTCATACCGTAAGTGTATTTAGGAAATTAAATGCATACTGATCATTTAAAAAAAGTAACAAGCTGCAAAAGGGCTTGTTTCTAAATATTTAAAGTGAAAGCGTAGTAGCCAATAATGTTCTTCCCATCATTTTTTAAATTAGCCGCAAGTAATGACACATGGAAATCAGTTGGTTGCTCACAGTTGGGTATCTATAAAAGGTAACAAATTACAGCGGGAAAATTATTTCTAAATAAAGCAGGCCATAGACAGAGCAAATTTCTTTCCTGCAACCACGGGTGTTGACAGGTTGACCGGGGAATCCCTTCCACGAATTTCATTGTGTTCTTCCTGCAAAGGGGGGGGGGGGAGCGGGAGCATTGAGACAGTGATTATTGCTAGCAGCTATAATAGCTGCTAGCACTAATCGCATGTGAAGTCTGGCAGGCTGGTTGTACCCAAGTTGATCGATCAATCAATTTGGGTACATTCAGTCTGCCCATACATGAAATCTTGGCCGGCTCCTATCAGCCAATCAAACTCTCCTATTATTTTCAAAACTGCACCAAACTAATGATACATGGGGTTGATTTACTAAAAGAAAATAGTCTGTTCCCTTTGCAAGGGTATTTTCACTTAACTTATTGAATATGGTGAAAAGAATACACAGTGATGCGCAAAAAAAAATAAAAATAAACTGTGGTTTTGCTTGCATGTCATTGAATTTATTTATTTATTTATTTATTTATTTATCGAGTTTATATAGCGCCAAAGGGTTTGCTCAGCGCTGTACAATAGAGGGGGGACAATACATGAAACAGTACAGTAACATCAAACAGCACACAAGGGGTAAGAGGGCCCTACTCTTTCGAGCTTACAATCTAGGAGGGAGGGGGTAGAGGTACAGGAGGAAATGGCTGTGGGGGATGGAGTGGTAGGAGGAGGGAAGGGCAGCGGCTGTTAGGTGCGGGTGGGGTAGGCTGCCCTGAAGAGGTGGGTTTTCAGGGAGCGCCTGAAGGTGAGGAGGGAAGGTGACAGTCTGATGGATTGGGGTAGTGAGTTCCAGAGGATGGGGGAGGACCTGGAGAAGTCTTGCAGTCTTGCGTGGGAGGAGGGAGACCAGGGAGCAAGATAGAAGGAGGTCCTGTGAAGAGCGAAGGGTACGGGTAGGGTGGTACTTGGGAATCAGGTCGGTGAGGTAGTTAGGGGCAGTGTTGTGAATGGCTTTATAGGTCAGAGTGAGCAGTTTGAATTTAATGCGTTGGGCAATGGGGAGCCAGTGGAGGGAGAGGCAGAGGGGGTGGCAGAGGTGGAGCGGCTGGTGAGGTGGATGAGTCTGGCAGCTGAGTTCAGGATGGTCTGAAGCGGGGAGAGTTTGCACTGGGGTAGGCCGATGAGGAGGGAGTTGCAGTAGTCAAGGCGTGAGATAATCAGGGAGTGAACGAGTAGTTTAGTGGTGTCTGGGGTAAGAAAGGAGCGTATTTTGGCGATGTTGCGAAGGTGGAGCCTGCATGTATTTGTGAGTGATTTCACATGAGGTTGGAAGGAAAGGTTTGAGTCCAGAATGACGCCAAGGACCTTGGCTTGCTGGGCGGGATTGATGGTGGTGTTGTTGGTAGTGATGGAAAGGATGGGGGGGGGGGCACGGGAAGGGGGAAAGACGAGAAGCTCGGTTTTGGAGAGGTTGAGTTTGAGGAAATGGAGCGACATCCAGTCAGAGATGTCGTTTAGGAGGTGAGTGATGCGGGCGGAGAATGTGGGGGGTGATGTGTGAGGGGGTGGATAGGTAGATTTGAGTATCATCAGCATAGAGGTGGTAGTTGAAGCCGTGGGAGTGTATGAGTTTGCCAAGGGAGGAGGTGTAGATGAGAAGGAGAAGAGAAGGGGTCCAAGGACAGAGCCCTGGGGGGACCCCAACAGAGAGGGGGAGGGAAGAGGAGGTGGCGCCGTTGTAGGAAACGCTGAAGGAGCGTTGGGATAGATAGGACGAGAACCAAGAGAGAGCGGTGTCTCTGATGCCAAGGGAGAGTAGTTTATTAAGGAGGAGGGGGTGGTCGACTGTGTCAAAAGCCGCAGAGAGGTCTAGGAGGAGGAGGACAGAGTAGTCGCCTTTGGCTTTGGCGGTTAGTAGATCGTTGGTGATTTTGAGGAGGGCAGTTTCGGTGGAGTGTAGGGGACGGAAGCCGGACTGTAGTGGGTCAAGGAGGTTGTTGTCAGTTAGGTGGGCGCTTAGGCGATCGTAGACCAAGCGCTCAAGGAGCTTGGACATGAGTGGCAGCAGGGAAATTGGTCTGAGGTTGTTGAGGTCAGTGGGGTCCAGGGAGGGCTTTTTGAGTATGGGGGTGATGTGCGCATGTTTTAGGGGGGAGGGGAAGACGCCAGTAGCGAGGGAGAGATTGAAGATGTGGGTAAGGGAGCGGATGAGGGAAGAGGGGGGTGACCGGAGGAGTTGAGAGGGGATAGGGTCCAGGGGGCAGGTAGTGAGGCGGGCTTCTGAGAAGACTCTGGTGACTTCCTCAGTGGTAGTAGGGCTGAAGGAGTGCAGTGATGGGGGGTGTGGTGGGGGGCAGTGCCGTTGCAAGGTCAGAGGAGGGGAGAGATGAGAGGGTGATGGAAGGGGAGAGGCTAGATGGGGAGGTAGACTGCAAGTTGACTATGTCCTTGCGGATTGCGTCAATCTTGCTATGGAGATGAGTGGCAATCTCGTGGGCGGTAAGTGAGGTACTGAGTGGAGGAGGGGGGGGAGAGAGCAGGGAGTTGAAGGTGGAGAAGAGTCGGCGAGGGCAGTTTGAGAGGGTGTTGATCAGGTCAACGAAGTAGGCCTGCTTGGCGGCGTGGAGGGAGGAGGTGTAGGTGAGGAAGGCAGATTTGTAGAGGGAGAATGCATGAGGGGACCTGGTTTTGCGCCATAGTCTCTCCAGCGCACGACTGCGACGTTTGAGGCATTTAGTGCGGTCGTTCTGCCATGGTTGGAGCGGTCTGGGTTTGATGTTGCGTGTGGTTAGGGGTGCCAGAGAGTCTAGGGTGGCTGATAGTGAGTCGTTGTACATGGTGGTGGCTAGGTCAGGACATGACAGTGGAAGGATGCTGTCGTGCAAGCGGTCGGCAGCCGAGTGGAGGGGGGCCGGGTGCAGGTTGCGGAGGTTGCGGCTGGTGATGGTTTGGCGCACTGGGGGGGGGGAGTTAGGGGAAGGGGAGATGGAGAACGTGAGGAGGTGGTGGTCGGAGAGAGGAAGAAGGGGGTGTTAGTGAAGTGGTTAAGGGTACAGAGGTGGGAGAAGACGAGGTCCAGGGTGTTCCCATTGATGTGGGTGGAGGATTGAGTGTGTTGTGTGAGCGCGAAGGAGGTGGTTAGGTGGAGGAGTTGAGAGGTAGTTGGGGGGTGGTGGTCGTTGATGGGGATGTTGAAGTCCCCGAGAATGATGGTCGGTAGCTCAGAGGAGAGGAAGAAGGGAAGCCAGGCGGCGAAGTCATCCAGGAAGCGGGCAATGGATCCGGGGGGCCTGTAGATCACTGCGATCCTTAAGGGGGTGGGTGAGAAGAGCCGGATGCAGTGAGCCTCAAAGGAGGAGAAGGTTAGGGAGGGGGGGTTAGGGAGGACCTGGAAGGTGCTCAGCGGTGATAGGAGCAGGCCGACACCACCACCTTTGTGACCGCCCAGTCTTGGTGAATGGGACCAGATGAGACCTCCATGAGAGAGTGCCGCAGGGGAGGTAGAGTAGGTGGCCTGTACCCAGGTTTCGGTGATGGCTAGGAGGTTGAGGGAGCGGGAGATTGAATGATGAAAGTCAGCAGAAGTTCACCTCAAGTGCTAAGCTAATACTTATAACGTATCAGTGAAGGGAAGGACAGTGCTCGCCAGCAAAACCAGGAGTCCAATGTTGAGGAATGTAAAAGCAGAGAGTGCAGCGCTTATAAGATGATAATCATATAAACATTTTCAAAATCAGATAAGATACGTTTTAAAATAATAAATCTAAGTGCGTATGAAAATAAGCTGTAAAATAAAGTGCAAGCATATAATTTCAAAATGTGCTCTGAAATAAATACATAAATAAATAGATTAAAAGTCCATGTGATAGTGAAAACTCTAATGTCCATTAAGAGGTGATGCTACGTGAAGATCTGTGTTCAAGTGGTCACAAATACATTCCATGTGCCAATTGTATATAGGGTGAAGTGCCAGGGATATAGTAAAAATGCACACTCACCAGATGCGCATTTTAAAATACGCAATTTGTGTAAATGATGTGATCATCCAGAGGTCCCCTTTAAGGTGGAACGGATATGTAGCCTGGAAAGGAATCTCCCTCCTTTGGATCCTCTCCCTCCTTTGGATCCTGAGCTACTCTGCAGCCGTCCTTCACACTGGGCTCTGAAAATTACCAGCTCGATATGGAGCCAAGAAAGAAGTCGTCCATAGTGTAGTAATTCAAGGTTTATTATGGCCATCCTGATTGGTTGATATATCAGATCCGGATGTAAGTTTTTAAAATGTAAAAAACAAATTGTGATTTATTTTTTTTTTAATTTCTACATTTTCCAAAAAATTGTAATCAAAATTACAACCGCCAAAAAACTCACCATGCCTCTTACTAAATACCTTGGACTGTCTATTTTCCAAAAATGGGGTAATTTGGGGGGTATTTATACTATCCTGTTTTCGGGCCTCAAGAAATGAGATGGGCTGTCAGTATATCAGGA